AAGTTCAAATAGTCTGGTTGCATCCAAGCTGTCAATTGTATTGTGTATGTATATGTTCATAATAACTGTGTACAACCTCAGGTTGTTTCTTCGTCCCAAATTGGAATAAGTTAACGAATAAATTATTGAATGCTACCTAGTAAGAGTGGATAGTTTTTCGTCCTAGTTTGAACTCCACAGTCAGTCAGTAACAATCTAGAAATTCGTACTTACGTACATCAGTTCGAGTTGCCATACCACATTAGCACAGAGATGCAGTTGTCGACTCAAATCCCGTAGTGGTAGAGGTAGTAAGAGTAGAAGCAGTAATCGGAAACATTAGGGTTTGCATGTTATTTAAAGAGTATAATCCAGTGAAATAAATTTGGAAAGAGAAAAAATGAGGACATGAAGAAGTCAGAAGATTAGAATTTGGGAGAACACAAAGAGTGGATGCACCTGCGCCATTGCAAACGATTTTGAGCAATGTCATTCAGGGTCTCTAACCATCTGTTGTTATCATCTCGCGGTCCCCAACCACGTAGTCTACATCTACCAACATGACTCAGTCCACTTGTCAGTGACTTCATGGATTTGTGTCATGTTTTGGTCTAGCCGCCCATAGCTTTTTTCCAATTTACTCCTATACCATTGAACATCGCACGTCGAGGCAGTCGGTGGTTGGGTATACGTAACACGTGTCCCAGCCATCTCAACTGATGAAGTTTCACTACGTCATCAATCGATTTGCCATCCTTACCTAGTACCCGTTTCCTAACAACTGTGTTACTTACTCGATGGTCCCAGGATATACGAGTAATGTTTCGAAGACACCTATGATCAAATACTAGTAACCTACGGATATCCTCTACTCTTACCGGCCATGTTTCACTGCCATAAAGAAGGACGGAACGAACTGCTGCGCAGTAAACCCGTCCTTTGGTTGATAGACGGGTGTCTCGCCTACGCCATAAATGACGCAAGTTGGCAAAAGCTAGTCGAGCCTTCTGTATCCGTGCTAAGATTTCATCACACACTAGACCACAAAGGTTGATGAGACTCCCGAGATAAGTGAAGCGGTCGACACGCTCAACTACTTCACTCCCTATCATTAGTTCGGGTGTCGATGTAACCAAATCCTGAAGCAACATTTTGCATTTCGAGGGGGAGAATCGCATCCCGAACATGCTTACATTGTTGCTTAGAGTGGTCAGAAGACTGCATTTTGTCAGAGTTTTCACCAAATAGAACTATGTCATCGGCATATTCCAAGTCAACAAGTGAATCTCCTGGTAGAAGTTCACCCCCTGGAAATTTAGATGAGGAAAGTGTTATCTCTAAAAGCACGTCAATGAAAAAGTTAAACAAGAATGGAGAGAGTGGGCAGCCCTGACGAACACCACTTGATGTAATCAATTCTGATGACAGTTCGCCATAAGCTCTCACTCTACCAGTTGTGTTCGAGTAGAGAGCATGTATAAGGTTAATGTACTTCTTTGGTACTCCTTTCAATGACAAACACTGCCATAGAACCTCACGATCAACAGAGTCGAATGCTGCTTTAAGGTCGAGAAATACTACGATTGTGGGGCGCCTGAAGAGTCGGAGGACCTTAATTAACTTGCCATACAGGTTGACTGGAGATCGTGGGAAGCCGAAGTGTGGCTGAAGGCCAGTTGAACTGATCCCTAAAGTGTTCTGCCCATCGATCCAATCTCCTGTATTGAGAATGTATAATATGTCCATCTTTCTCTGAGATTGTTTCGCTAACAGTCGGGTTCCTGATACCGGTTTTCCTAACGAGTCTGAACAATTGTTCGCTATTACCTATTGCCGCTGCCTTTTTCATCTCTCTTGCTTTCGCTACCCACCACTGCTCACAATCATTTCGTAGGCTTCTTGTCAGCTTGCGCTTAAGCCGACTCCTCTCTTCGTTATGTTCAGATCCAGATGGAATGGGTTTTCGAGCATCTATCAGTGGGGTAGATGCTGCTGAGATCCAGTGTTGCTCCCTAACCTTGTGGTTTACTGTAATAGCAGACATCATTGCCGTTTCCACAGCTTTTCGGATATCATCTCATGCTGCCTCGGGGTGGGCATCACATGCATGGCTGCCTAACTGTTTTTCAAGTTGTTCCTGAAATATACTCATTCAGTAGGCTCCTAAGAGGTTTCCTTGCAGTGTCTTTCCTACGTCCAGTAAGACGCAGGCAAATACGCGCTCGAACCACAGCATGATCTGAATCTAAGCATGTGCTCCAGAATGAGCGACAATCTTCTATCGAGCCCCTCCACAGTACTACACAACCACAAAACTGCATGAAATCACTCATGATATTCACGATAACTTACGATCATTAAATATGAATACGATGGTACATTTATGATTTAACTACAATTAATATGAAAGGAAAACAGAAAACTTTCAAATATGTAATAGTCAACAAAATGACGGAATAAATTACGAGACAAACTTATCTACAAAATATTTCACTTAAAATAAACACAATTAGAATGCACGTAAAGCGTAACTGATTTGGATGTCGTGGGCTATTTATGAATCAAAAGATTCAAGGCCTTACAATCGGACGAAATTACCATTCCATTATCTCAAAATCTTATACAGTAGTAGTTCTAATTCATCATGCTTAACACAACCATCAAAACAAACGGAACTCCATAAAATAAGCAGGTAAAATAAAGACAAGTCTTATCGTGTAGTGAACGAAGACCTGGATAAGGTAAACCATTATTGTATTAAGCAAAAGCATACACTGAATTTGTAAAATATGAACACAATACATTGAAAGTACTATGTGCACATCTTCCTTGAATTGTCTCTTGAAATCTCCATCGTTCTTTCATTCATGTTGCTACTCGGAGTGCTTCTGCTTTTCTTTCTCGTCTCCTGATATTATTCTTCTGTCAGTAAGAATCCTTCTTTCAAATTTTGATACATACTACTCATATATGTCTGTATACGTACCAGACACCACAACTAGATGGCAAATGAACAGATAAATCCAAGACAATACAATATACAAGATTTGGAGAGGAATATAATTTCGTTTATATTACTGTGACCAAATTCAAGTTGTTTTGAAGAGTTTAAGCAGTACGACTACAATATTATGGTGAAACGCAAATAAAATATTTATGCCGTATTAGTAAAATAAGCCAGTCATTACCAATGAATTGTTCACTCGGAAAAATCTGTTTTTTCAAACCATTTTTTCTTTCTTAATCGATCCAATGAATTACAGCAATAGTAACAAATTTGACATGATATTGTGCTAAATTAACGATTAGAAATTAAGTGTGTTTTGCTCTCGATTGAGTTAACTTTAGAATTCGCTTGAGTAGGTGTGTCTTAATTATAGTTTGTCCATCTTACCACGTATGTGAATAAATTGGCAATATATGAATTGACCAAAACCATTTATGCTCTATCACAAAGCTTGTTAAGAGATAAATAATTATGCTTCAAGAGACAATGAAGCCAATTAAAACAAAGACAACAGATATATGAAATAATGTTATGAGTCATTCTTAGTATTGTCTGATTCGGTCAAGACAAAGCCTGTTAAACAACTAGGTGTATTGAACCACAATTTTTATTTGTCAAAATGAATTTCACTATAGTTCTTATAATAGTAAAGAAGTATTATGCTTTGTTTCTTAAGAAATTAACATCATAGTTGCACTAGGCATGAAATGTAAGAACTGTTATTAGAACCAGTGTTAGGATAGACTACATGTTCCCAAGCTATTCAACTGTATCAAGATGAGGACACATGAATCCTACTTAGATCAAGAGAACTTTAATTACATCTCATTAATATGATAGCATGTGGGATATTCAAAGCCACAAAACCTATTATGTAACCAAGGTCAGGGTATAGGAAAAGCAATTCATTTCTTACCAAAAACCTAAACACAATGTTAACCACTGAGTTACATCTCACTTCGTTCATCGATTTTATTATGTGTATCATAATCAATCCAAACTGGTTGCACGTATAAATCAATAACTGGAACACTGTGCAAACGTCAGAAAAAGAATATGGTAAACATCCATCTGTTTCTGTCAAATGTTAGAAAAACGTATTAAATCAATCTAAAAACATTCTATCTATTATTGTAGATAAGTAGTTACGTACATATACACTGATCTGTCAAATCTTAATTACCCATGAGAAAATGTATAACTATCCTACTTTTTTTTCCAAAAATACTTCATAATTGCATTGAGACCTGCCCTAGTATTATTGACTTCTAATATATCATGATTGGTACGCTTAAAATAAAATTCCTTCTCATTGTTCTTCTTACGTTTTATCCTTTAAATAAATATCTTCAGAAATTATAGTGTGATCAAAGAGTGCTCATATAGCACACCATTATGATAAACTCCGTTTTTTCCCTTTATAATGTCTAGACTTCAACGAGGGATTAATTCAACTTAATTTGTAAGAATTTTAGTTATCCTGCTGTTGATATTGTTTGTCAGTGTTAGTCGGCATTTACGTACCCTTACAAATTCATAAACGTTGCATAAAATAATGGAATTCAGTAATGGAAATCATCAAACTGTTTCATAAAGTAAACCATAAATTGGGAAAAAGAAAAGAGGCAGACGAAAAAAACATTGAGTCACGAACTGGAGGTAGACATCAAAAGAATCAATGGAACTTGGCGACAAATGGAAAGGAGAACCTAGAACAGAGTAGTTCGGAGACTCCTAGTTGGCGACCAATGCTCCACTAGGGATAACAGGTGTGAGTAAGATAGTACCATAAATCTTCAAATACAAATAAAGCGACTTAAAGTGGAATACATTAGTCTGTATTTAGTGAATAATTTATATTAAATTACTACTAATTTTTTAAGTGATAAACTGAAGCTATACGTCAGCGGATTAGTTCTATCTATTTGAAGTAAAAACCGATTGATAAAATGTGTTGTTTGCATTCATAATTCAATATCATAAACAAAACAAGTTATTGGAACCAAATAGATTCAATGCATGACGTAATGAAGTATATTAAAATAACAACAGATCAAACTTGCAGATAACCTATGAAAATAAGGCGGTAATAAAAAAATATAAGTGAGTACACATACAAATGGTACAGTACAAAATGCAATCAAATGAACAAAATACCATTATTATCAGACTAGAGAGGAGGGGAAGGAAGGCAGGAGGAAGAAGGAGGGTTAGTATTAGTATTATACAAATAACATATTTTTGTATATATATATAGTTACAATAAACTATTACAGGTTAAAGCAATTAACCACATGAAGACAAGTTTGATGAAAGACATTTGCAATAAACAAAATAATAACAATATTAGAAGAAGTTAACATCAGTTTTCTTGAAGATAATTATTACCTATCCCTATTAAAATTTATAAGCTAATTATGGTATTGTAATTTTTCCATTAGAATATTGTAAATGTGTATCATGATTATTGTTTCGATTAGTTTTAGATGATTTTAATAAATTATTACGTTTATATTCAATAGTTTCAATGATAAAATGACTAATTAATGAACAACTCATTAATATACTTAAACATAATACACTAATACTATGTACACATGAATAACGCCAAAATAATGCTTGATGATGAAGCATAGCAATTAATGCTGGCATTAATAATTGACCAAAAAATGTAGCTAATTGAATATGATATGAATTAGAAAAAAATAAATTTGTAGTTAAATGTATAGTCATTAATGTACCAGTATAAGAAGATGATAAACCAATACCAATACCAAAACAAAAACTACCAATTAACCATGTTATATAAGGATGAGATAATGAATTCATGTTTAATAGGGATGATGATGATGATGTTGTGGAACATCTTCCAGTTGACATTGATAAATATGTTAATGCAATAGAACTAGTTACACAAATAAAACATCCACACAATTGTATGATAGTAATGATTATTGATGATTTTGTATTCCTAGAGACAGAATTTTAAAAAAAAGGAGAAACAAAATAGTAAACAAATGATAACGTTTATTAAATATTTGGATAATGGGGGCTAGCAGTGTGAAATGTAGAATACTTATTTTGTTCTATTTTAAACGAGTCGGTTAGATGTACCTGTATGTGTGTTAATTTTGATATTATCATCAAATAAAAACTGATCAAATTTAATCTTGAATATTAGCAACGTGGAGTTGTGTTCTCTTAGCTGAGTTGTCTAATTGTGAAGATATCATCATCTTTCGAGAAAGCAACATCAAGAAAATCTTCAAATACAAGTGAGGTATTTGAAATCTTTTCTCATATACGAATGTTAGTTTGTCCTGTTAACCTTGCATCTGATTGGTTGTTACCACTTAGCATTGTCTGGAATCGAAAACATGTACATACTGGCGGGACAAATGTCGACAGTCAATCGAATTCAAAGTCAACAGAACTAGCTGCTATTCGGATGGGAAAGGGGAGATTTCAGATAGTTTACTTTTATTTGAAGTTTTTTCTGGTGTTGTCGAGATAGGTGGTGATAGCTTTAAGACTAAACCACCCAACTCATGGAGCATAATCATTAACTTGAGCTACAAATCTCACAATCCAATAATAATAATAATAATAATAATAATAATAATAATAATAATAATAAAGTGATTAGGCTTGTTTTACGAAGTATCTGGAGTTCAAAAGATTTGTGTATTCCAGAATCTATATTTAGAGCCAGATGGATCCGTTCTTGATGAAAAAAAAACTAATCGTTATATTGCGTTTCATTTTTCAAAACTACATTATAGTAACGAATTAGCTAACTAAACAATCATTTCCATTTTGTGTGTATTATACATATCTACTGCTAAAGCCCCAACATAAGTAGATAAAATTGAATTTGTGAAACATTCACTAGTAAGCGAAACAATAACCATTAAATTGCAGCTCGATATAACTACGTTCCTGTCCAACCCTGTTCTGATTTGGGCACTAGTCAAGTGGAGTAAATTGTCCAAAAAATATTAAGCAATAATAGTAGCTGGGTCATATAAAGGGAGATTATAACAGACCAGTGAACTATCAGAAGTATGTATTAGGATGAATTTGACCAGTGGTAATTATATCTAACTTCTCTGAACAAAGTAGAAGAGAGGTTAAATACATAGGTACTGTTTATCACAACTTTAATGTGTGAATCAAGTATCACCATTTTCTCTGTATTCATCACAAGCTGTTTGTTTCTAGCTAAATGCCAATAGAGTATCATCACAGTTGTCTTTAATTGTGAATGGTTACTTACCTATAAATCACCAACGGGATTCATTTTTAAAAAAACTATAGGAAGCAATATTTATGTCATTTTTCGTTATGTACTACCATTCACTAATTATAATTTAATATGAATGTATAAAATTATATGAAAACAACTTACTTTGCATAATTACGACGGTGTTTTCTAGTTGAATATATACGCTTAGATAATAGCTGACTGTTTGAAATACCGGGTAAAGTATCTCGTAAATCTGGCCATTTTATATTGATTATCAATAAACGAACTAAAAAGCCAACGAGATTACCAAGCCAAAACAAACTGGTCACAATTATTGCTAATGTCTTGTTAAAAGAAATAAATAAATTGGACTGAATGTACCGATACTTGATATAAAGTTACACGAACAATCATTTTGTTAACAAAATAAAGATATCAGCAGCCCAGTAACTATGTGTACATTGTGTATACATAATAATGAGTTTCACTAATTGGGTTTATATATGGGCTAAAAGCTTTTCGGCTATGTGATCAGGATGGTTGAGTTGAATGCTTGCTTACACCATAGAGCTACAATCGAATATGATTCAACCACCACAAATATACTTATTTAAGAGATGTCAAGTATATAAACCTTTACTAGATAATGTAATAAGTTACATTACATATTATAATTTGTAGATGACAACCAATTATAACCACACATCAACCAAGTACAGATTTGTATACTTGACTTTAAGTCATACTCAAAAATGTGAAAGCTAGTGATATCATCCGATTTTTTCAAACAAAAGTAGATGGAGTAGGGTTCAAACCTATCTTACCAATTGGATTATCACTTAATAACCAATGTTTTGCCTTTATTGTATGTTCTTAACTAGTTTTCCAGTAGATAATTAATAATTTCAATAGTTATCCTGTTCAATTAATAATGATTTATGCTTTAGAAATAGTTTTAGGAGAACTTCCGAGATTAAATCAAATTCAAAAGGAATTAAAAATTAGTAGTCATGACAACTTTCTTCTTTTACGGAAAGGGGGGATTGGTAAGTGAATAAAGTTTGTAATTGTTAAAATGAATGAAAGACCATGACCGTTAACCAGAAGAACAAGTTTTTATATTATGAGATAACATTTATGTAAACAAATTATTCACAGAAAATAAATGAAATAGCTCTGTAGGCTACTCGGTTGTCAATATGTTATTATCTGACTGACAAGCTTAATTCTTGGTCATTATATCATTTTGTGAAAGTATAAATGACGACATCTATAAAACGTTGACCATAACACACTCATGTATATATAATCAAATGATATTCAACAAGCTTTCAGACCATTTGGGGGCCTCGAGACATATTTTAAATCTGAGGGCTAGTGATACCAATCAAACCGAAACAGGTGTACAGGAGTTGGGATCTAGAAGTTGGTGGTTGAAATTCAAACGATTTAATCATTAAACTACAGTTCATAGTATAAAACCTCTAATTGAATAAAAACAACGAGTTTAATCTATATTTAAAATTTGTGTTTTAATCCCTATGCTAAGCCATATTAATGTGAAAAATTGTCAATATAATATGACAATTTAAGACAGAAAGTTAATGATAGTTGACATACATGAAATAACATTAAATAGATTAAATAAAAAAGCGTGAATATCAATGAGCAAACAACACAGGTACACGTAAGCAGAACTTTGATTCATACTTGACATATGAGGAATTAGAAATTATTGATTTGCTTCCAGTAAATAGTCTAAACTAAGAGAAGTGAAATGAAGGCTACAAAATAATAAATCACTAGTTCAAATGGTGAATCTCTAACCCAACTACATACCATTAAACTTGAAACTCAACAACAAGTGTATTTCATACAAAATAATAGTTATATAAATAGTTATATGAATAGCGTAAATACTTACTGGAGACCAAAGAAGATAACGGATAGTGAGACTAGCAACAAAGCCAGCATATGTTGTCTCCAAACCACTATTTAGAAATGCAGATAATAACAGCCAAAAATTTGACGGCCATTGAATTCTTGGCCAATGAGTTTCAAATACAGAATAATCGGTCATAGAGGAGGTAATATCATCACCAACATTAGGATTTAATACTATCATCGATTTAGACACTGAATAACCAGAAATATTATTTCCTGAAGATGATTTAATTAAGGAATTTTTCAGAACAACACCATTATCATTCAATTCAGAATCAGAATGACAGACTAGCTCTCCGTTGTTATCAATAAAATGACTTCGATTCCATAGTTCAACTGAATCCGATTCACTGTCATCTTCATCTTACGTAAAAATAAAAAAGGTATAACATTCAATGGTGATTATTATCAGGATAATTATATAGATATTAGTCGTATATCTCACAACCAAAACACTGCAGTGTCTTCTGGAAAATGACTCAGTCAGTTGTAATTAACGAAGAGCCTGGTAATAACTTGAGTCACCTCGGATCGCCACACCATATTGGTATGATAAGAAAAAAATAACAGAATAAAGGAATTAGAGTACTGTAGTGAAAATGATAATGAGATAGACTAAAAATTGAGAATATGGTTTGAGAAGAAGGAATGAAAACGGTATATATGAAGAAATACTTGAATTCAAGATCTACAGTATGACAAAAAGTGAATATTCCTAGACTATTGTGACCGAATACAAGCAGCATAACTGAAAGTCACTAACTGCTGATCGCGTTTATTGTACGGGCATCAAACTGATGATCTGAGTTTATCAACATGACTCAAACCAACAGTTAATGAACAGATACCATGTTTTGGTGAGCATAGACGTAAATCTTTACTAGCTATCTTTGATATCGTAAGCATGAATAAACTGCAGTTTCTAAAGTAGAAAACACGTTAAATCCCTTCTGGCTGTTTTTCTACATTTCGAGATGATGATATACGTAGTACACCCAAACCATTTTATTTCATATCTGCTTTCAAAAAACTTAACAGTCACAAAACTTTTGCAACTTACAGTGAATTGAACCACTTAGAATATATATATACGATGGTAGTAAAATCGAGATATCACTATCAAATTTTAGTCAATAATAACATAAAAAATCAGGTTAACAGTTATGATCTGATAGTCGTTTCACAAATATCTAAGTGTAATCTTTTAGCCTACCTGATCCTCCAAGTAATCTTGATTTGAGACCTTCTTCAGAATGATTTTCATTACTATCAGTATCTGATCGTTGCATCACACTTGGTGACGAAAGTTTGCTAGCAGAAATAAGCTCGAAATTATTATCATCTATGATCTGAAGATCAAAGTAACGAATAAATATCGATTCACACCAACTTGTTAATGGAATTGTCAACAGCCAAAGTATCATTGAAATAATACTTAGTAATAGATAAACTTTCTGAACTGATTCTACTGGATGTTGAAACGGTAACAGATTATGATGAGATTTATCCAACGAGTGTTCAGCAATACGATGATGATGATATTTATGATTTGTTGAATTGATAACTACAATAATATCGTTTGACTGTAATACAGGTGGAAATTTACTGAATGTGAATTGAGTAGAAGAGTTATTAGTTATTAACCCAAATTCATCGGTAATATTATACATGCCAAGTATTACTTTATTCTTATTTATTGGTTTAGACGCATTAGATATGTGAATATCTTTTGTTGAACTCACATTATCAATGAAAATTTCATTAGATTTATGATCTTTAACAATTTTAGAGTCATGTGGAAATCCTGTTGAAACATTGTTCAAGTGAAGTGAAAGATGGCTAGAGGAAGAATTTGTAGAAATTTTAGAGATAGCATCATTATTATTTGATTGTTTGGTAGAATTTAAATTCGTGATGTTCATTAACATAGTAGTAGTGGTAATAGTAGACTGGTTTTGGACTACAGGATTTTGAAGTTTATTTGGATTAACGACAGAGGTCAGTGGTTTATGAGTAGATGGATCATCGTCTAATTCTTCAATTTGACGCTCTTCAGTAAGTTTCTTCATTTTAGACGCTGCTTTACTACCATCCGCAGATGAACTATCTTGGTTTAAATGTTTGGCATCATTGACTGATGGCTTTTTCTTGATTGTAGGTTTGATAGTAACCGAAGAAGAGTTCACTGTAATGTTATGTGATGTTTCATTTATATTGATTTCGTTTGTTGACGTAAAATTAGGTATGATTAGATTTAAATTGTGAGATTGATCAGTAGATATTTCATGATGATTAATGTCCATACTGGTTTGAGGTGTTGTTTGCAGACCAAAATTAGATTTATTCAGTAGTGGGGTACTAACTGAAATTTTTCGAGGAATACGAATAAGTGGAGAAATTTTATTGTGTTTACTAATACCAGTACTGCTACTCTCAACAAATTTAATGGGAACTACATTAGATACGTTTGAAATGAAGTTATGATTATGTGAATGCTGTGGTTCATTCAGTGTAGTACTGGGATGAACATCTAATGATGTAATGGCATTTAAATTTGGCTCAATAAATAAAATAAAATATGGAGTAAATACACAGCCCAATAAGAAAACACTTGTTAAATATTGTGGCACAATGTGGAGTCGGTGTTTTACGTTCTCACGATGATAAACACATCCTGAAAAATGATAAATTACAAAATAAAAAAGTTTCAAAACTTAGTTTTAAATTACTTTTAAGGAAGATTTTTACATCCCATAGTCGCTATTTCCACTAATCAAAATACGACTTATACAATCTTAGCACTGTGCCAAACCAATGACGTCCGACCGGTATGAGCAGCCTAGCGTTCTTATTGGTCCTGTGTCCGCCTAGCCCGTCCACGTGAGTCCAGAACACCGATACCAGCTTCCATTATGCGAATCAAATCGAATAATTTATTTCAGACATACTGGGTTTATATATCAACCAAACAGACCGCAACGCACCATAAAATAGGAAATAACATTTGTATACAATAAAGCCAAAACGTGACTGTGAATGTGGGACTGAACATAGCTTACGAACAGTAAATTGTATAATAATAAATTATAGATCAAAATGAAGCTTATAATAAGAGGAATATAAATATACATTATCTAATTATTGAATAGTTATACCATCAGAATGTATAGATAATATTAGTCAACTAATATGTCTCAGAAATTACTCATGATCCAATCTTCGCTCAGATATAACAATAGCCATTTCAGAAGCAACTATGAGTTTGATGACTGCAATCTATCTAATGTTCAGAGGTAAATTATTTCACTATGTGGCTTAGTGAATGGTTTAGTCACTCACTTTGATATTGGGTCATTCACTTATTTTCCCACAGTAACAGGATAAACGGTATCTTTTGAGTTAGTTTTACTACTATGGGTTACGAATTTTGAATGATCAGAAACACGAATGAAATGTCAAGATGAAAAATAGAATGCTAATTGATTGATAATGAGAATTAATACACTGCTCACAAGACTTAATTTACTGAAAATCAGTTCCAAAAATGAATGGCAATTAAAAATACTGGATAACTAATAAAGCAATGATAATTGCATTTTACATTCTATTTTTACAAACACAAGTATAAAGTGAACAAAAACTTCAAAAAAAGTTATACAAAGTGCAACTAATCAGCACAAATTAATATTCGAAGGTCATTGTGTAATCATTAAATTCACGACTATGAGCATCGATTGAACCGCCTTTTTCATGTTAGGTTTTCCCAATAAATTCAAAAACATTACTAATTTAATCATTTTAAGTTTTGGATTGTGGAAATTCTGAGGATATATTTCTCTGCGTAACTTATGGAATCTATGCTACATCCAAGGTGATGATCCTAAGTGCCTCCGGACCCTGACATTATTTCAGTCTTCGTATGGCGAGCCAGGCTATGAGATACTTTGGCGAAACGTCGACACAAAGACCAATTTTAGGCTTGTAACTTAAACTTTGAGCCAAAATTTTTATGGGACAACCATTGGCACTATTTGACCGTCTATATTAGAACAGAAGAACGAGGGTCATAACTCATACACCGGTGAATGGAAGTCAAAGGCTTTCACCAGTCAACAAAGTACAATAATAGTCATATGCTAAATTGAATTGTCAGTGGCGGGAACCAGTGAGTAAGGTTTGTTTCGCTTTTGAACATGTCTACATCTGCTGGAAAATTCGAAGGGTGAACTGTATTAGTGCAGTAATCTGGTTAAGTGAGATTAAATGAAAGAACTACGATTTGACCCTACTTTAAAACTAACGTTTCAGAGGAGTATAAACTATTAGAAAAATATTCGATCATATCTTACTTGTATATCTGCTATTCCAGATAACTAGAAAGTAATTATTATCAATTGTTTTCTAGCACTGCTATAGCCATTTAAATACATTTTTAGAAATTTTTCAAATATACCCTTAGTTTCAATTGTAGATGGGATGTAATGATTATTAAGCCAAAACAAGGTTCGTACATATATTTTTTTGTTACCTTGCAAAGAAATTGTAACAAATAAACCTTGAAGAAAAAAAACTGCCAGCATCCACCAAAGATGTTTAACGAAAATAATAAGACCATTGGATATCACTAGGCCGAAAAGTCCAACACTTAGTAAATCATTTGGTTTAGTAGAACCTTCTGAATCCAGTAATAAACAGCTAACTATCCACCCGCCAATACACCCGACGGCCTTCGATGTAAAAACAAGAGCTGTTTCATCCTCTCGTGAGCCAGCTAACTTTTCCAGATACAGAATACTTGGTCCTATGAGTCCTGTTGAAAAACCCTGAGGCAATAATCAAAAAAGAAGTAGGAAACTTACGACCAATAGGAAAACAAAAGTGAAGATTGTTTTCCTCATACACTTGATGATTGTGCACCTATCCGGTACGGAATTTCGCCTTATCCTAGCTGTCCTAGACGACGGCATCAGTGGTAGTAGGTGAAAAAACCTTTGAAGTTCTTAAAGTATTGTCGACTGATGGAAAGTAGTTCGGGTGTACTGACAGAATCACGATCAAGTAATCTGAATGGAGAGAGGGAGAAAAGTCTAGGTTATTACATCTGCCAAGAATATCTTTTTCGGAAATAGAGAAAAATGAACAAAACCAAGAAAATATGACTTGTCTTTTTCGATTACATTTTCTATTTAACCATGTCGTGTCTGAACTTCACATATATTGTTGTAAATCATACATCTTATTTTTAAATTTTAAGAAAATTATTCATACCACGTAGAGGGAATTCCGGATATTATACACAAAAAGATGTACATTGAGTGAAATATGTCTCTATGACGTTTGAATGTGAAAAAAAAACAGTTCAAAAAAATGACGAAATTACCTGAATATTTTCATTAAAAATAATGAGAAACCGTTAATGAATATCATATGCATTTCAGAGTTTAAATTTAGATTGTATGAAGGGTTCGATGAAGTGCTATTTTGAATATTTGTGATTAAATCTACTGTCACTACAATTGCTAACTTCCCTGTAACGTAAACAAATAAAGAGATGGATGGTGGCTAGCAGTGGAATTCAGGACGCATGTTTCGTTCCATTTAGAACTCATTAACTGGACGTACCCGCATCCCAGATTTGATGTTCACCCTGGGACTCAAACCCAGCTGGCGAGTCCCGAATAGAACGAGACGCGCGACCTGAATTCCACTGCTAGCCAACATCTATCTCTGTTTATAATGCTTGTGACTTTAGGTAATATCAATGCACATACGCCAATATAATACTGATCACTTACAGTCCTAAACATCAGTGAGAAGACTCAAACAACCCAGTGTTTAACCGTCAGGTTTGAGGTTGAAGTTACTATACATTCCAACCAAAATACTAGTTTTTAGGTAGGATTTGAATATATAATGTTATTCATCCGGGTATATTGAAAGTCATGTCAAGTTCGGTACATATGACACTATGATTAGAATGAATAATAAATTAGAAATGTTTCTCATTCATGATAACAATGTTTGCTGATTTGGGAGTTGGTTGGAAGAAATATAGAGGGGAAATCAAGGCACGCACCAGTTCTTGCAGTCGAATTGTGGGTTTGAGCCCTGTTAGTAGGTGCAGATTGCCTGGTTAAAGTTTGTGCGATAACCGTGATCAGGAATTCGAGGGCTTTGTGTGACATGGTTCAAATGTTTACAATGGTTTACAAAGCAACATGTTGTAAAAACGTGTTTCAAAAAGCATAAAACATTATTTTTGCGAAGGTTCCTAATTTCAACACTCGATATTTTAACTTTTCATTTTGGCTCAACTTGGTGTACAAGTACAGGATTGTGTATTATTTTGAGTAACATTGTAACAATAGAGAATAGTTGTAGGTTGCCAACACTTAATCATAGGTGCTTCCAAAACACTTTCCGTGCATGTTGTAACAAACAAGTGAGGAATGCTAGGCAAAGATGGTAAAACAGTAGTGAATTTTCATTGACTGAGGTGATTAGGACATACTACGTGTATTTAGCCACCGCCTACCTTGAAAAGCAATGTTAGCCGGTGAGGAAGTAGGTTGGGAGATAGGCATGGACTAACCAAGACATGGCGTCACTTCATAAAGTCACTGACAACTGTGCTGAGGCGTAAAATCATGTGCAGAACACTTAGAGACCACCTAATTATCATAACTATAATTTGGAGAAACTGGGTGATACAACTTAGAATCGGTCACTTGTTGTCTTTCTTTGGATTTCAAGTTTCAAAATTATTTCACACTTTTCCCCCATGAACTTATTTTTATATTACCTACGCCGATTTTTTCCTACTAACCTAGGATTTGTCTTCATGATTTCATCGCTCTGTGGTGATGTGGTGGGGCAAACTGAGCCAATATAAAAGTGCCAGGTTCCGCTCGGTACATAAGTAACATTTTTGTGAGGGTGTAAGATGTAATCTGTTTTATTGGTGAGTAGTTAGTCGGGTTTCGAGTTAAAAATCTGAAGACCAAACGCCCTGATCATCAAACAAATACCCTAATAAATATTTTGGGGATTCTTCATGGTATATATTCCTCGGATTGTTGTAAAACTGAATTGTCTGTCGTAGTTGACGATCTGACTATTTCTATGCCTAAAATCACAATACTGAATAAGGCTATTATTATTATGCCGAATGGGAAAACTTGACTTGCCAACTGCAGTAGATTGATGATTAAAAAATGTACAGATAAATCATTACGGTGATAAGGAGCTCATTGAAACTAAATTGGGAAGTAATCGTCTGTGATTGATTAAAAAGTCATGAAAACCGGTTACGACAACAGTCATGCCAAGATCGGAGATTCATTTCTGAATTACTCGGGTACGAGCTCATGCTTTATTTAGAGTAGAAAAGAACTTCAACTCTTGAAAGCTGACTGTTGTATAGAAATGATAAATGAGGGCCTGAAAAATAGCTGTTCGAATCGACTGACATACCGATGTCTATTCGTATGTCTTTTTCAAGGGTCAGAGTTCTAGGTAACATAGAATTAAGCAGCAATTCGGCAAAATGAACACGACCTAACAAACTTATCACAAAACTTTAAATAATATACGAATTGACGTGCAGTTATAAACATATTAACCCAGGACGGTGTAGTACTACACCACGAAACTACTATAGTAGTTTCGTAAACCCAGTTAATCAAAAATAGCCAAGCAGATGAAGGCAATTAACTACGCGTAAATGCGCGAATCTCCCTAGGGAAATTTTGTCAATAAAAACACATTTTTAGCATCCGATAAAGCAGTCATGACAATCAAAGCGAGCGGGGAAGTTTTTATAAAAACTACAGTATAAATACTATAGTAGGATTTAGTATGTAAAATCGCTACTGTGCAACGCATTTCAGAAAATAAAATTACTTAATTAGATTTCAAATAAGTTAAAGAGTCTAGAAAATTATCCAAAGGCACAGCATTTAGGACTTACCTGATACTATCCCTTCAAAAAATAACTGAAGCGTAGTACCTTGATATACGCGCCAACCTTGGCAACAATTTCGATCTTCCGTCCGTGAATTTGTAACGCACAAGAAACTTTATGCACATCAAACGGGCGAATGTAGCTTACTTCTATTTCATTTTGGAAAGGAAAGGAGGCAAGATGGTCTGTGTTAGTATCGGGAATTATGGTCTCTCAGATGATACAAATTCCTTATGGAAATGTTGATAGATGGAGCTTCATTCACATATTGAGGCAATGAATTCTATTTGTTGATGATTCGATCGGAAAGTCGATAATCATCTGACGAGTAATTTGTTTTGAGCTGGTGAAAGTTTTTCGACTTTCTTCGTAAATCCTGTGATTTGGGAAACTAGAAATGTGAGGGCATATCAGGTGAAAATTTATCACTAAACAATTTGGAAACTCTGGTTCTTCGGTGTGACGGTGAAAGTAGGTTTGGTTTAGCCAGTCAAACATCACACTAGAGCCTCACTATTCCGGGGATCAGCTTGGTTGCGGTCCTCTGGACCGAAAGCTCATTTTTTAGGCAGGGGCTAGTCCCTTGTATGCAGTACTCGAGCCTAGGACGCACGAATACTGTACACAACGTCAAAAAGTTTTTAGAATCGACATGGCTACAGGCTCTACGTATTGAATTCAGGGTTCTAAAGCTTTTGGCGACTATCTCATTGCACTGTACAGTAGTTTTTAGGTGTTGGCTAAAGATATGTCTTGTGTGTCTGAACAACAAGTAGCTCAATTCACCGTGCATGTGTCTGTACCTTGATGATCGACATGCATTACAACACACTTAGAAGCACTCATCGGCAACTGCGAAGTTTGTGATCAGATAATTTCTCCAGGTTATTTTGAAGTATCAAGCTGTTGCCTTTACTTCTTATCGCTCTCCATATCTTGACATCGTCAGCATATGACAAAATCGATGATGATAGGAGATGAGGAAGATCATCCATTTACAAGAGGAATAACACTGATCCCCAAACTGTACCCTGAGGCACTCCGCAAAGCACGGTTTTTCAGCTATAAACTTTGAGTTCAACCATTTTTTTGTTGGCATCTAACTAGGAGATTTTTTGTCCACATTGATAAATTGCTCACAACCTCCATAGTAGTTAACTTATATAGCAGCCAGTTTGTCAAACGTTTTCTTGAAGTCAGTGTAAGCTATGTCTATAGGTCACTTTTGGTCTTTAAGAGTACACTAACTTTTGCACGTTACCAATAGGTTAGTGAGACAGGAATAACCTGTTCTGAAGCCATGCTGTTTTTCAAAATGAGTCCCGTTCTCATCGAGATTCGTGGACAGTTCATTCAGAATAATATCTTCTAAAATTTCAACAACCACGCCGAATGGGATAACTGGTCGATAGTTCTCAGGTTTATCTTTCGTACTTGTTTTGAAGACAGGATTACTATGGCGTTCTTCCGGTCTTTCGGTAATCGACCTTGGGATACAAATAGATTAAAACATATGCTTTAGGGATTCACGACAACATTTGCTAGTTCTTTTAGAAGCCTGTGATACATTTAATCGAGTCCCATGGATTTTTCTATATCGATCTCATTTAGCAGATCAGAGGAATCGTGTTCCTTAACGGTCACAGTGTCCAGTATGTGTGGAGGGTGTATAAACTGAGGGAGGGTGTTTCTATGGTATATGCATTGTTGAAGTAATTTCAGAATAACTGAGCCTTACCATAAACGTCATCCAGAAATGTTGAAGTACGATTATTTCCCCATCATGCTGTAATATTTCCTCTTCCCTTAGTAATTTTGTTTTGGTGCATATATGGGCGTTTAGGGTATTCTACAGATTCCTTGACAAGTTTTTCTTCGCACAATTTACTGGACTTCCGAAGGGTTGAGGCACAAACATTTCGGGCCTCCCAAAATCGAAACTTTGTCTCATCAGTACCCAGAGAACTAAATCTCTCCCACATTCTTCTCCTTTTTACGCAGAAGTGTGCGAACATTCTTCATTGAACCGTAGTGTGGAGTTTATTGGACTCCTTGGAGTTGTGCAGTAGTGTTATTTGTCATAATCACATAATTCTCAAAGCTGGACGTGAAATAACTGGGAAAATATATATTCAGCACTTAGCACGAAGAGAAGGCTAATTGTGATGAACGCAGGAATATTTAATTCAATTGATATCAGTCAGATGACATGGCCCAGCCTTGTGGACGTGATCGTTCTGTATAACGTGTCTTAACTCGTATTAAATATATTATTCTATCTTCAGCCAACACGTGTTCTTCACAAACGACAAGCGTTATATCGTGGTTCGTTACCATACGACGAGGTAGAATAGACGTTCATGTGACTTCCACGTAAGAACTTATAGATTGGGTTATCATATCATGATATATCTACAATTTTAGGATTAAGTCTAATATTATAATAGCACTAATAGTGAAGTAGGCCATAATTCTACAGTCCAAGAGATATGTGGTGTAGCGATTTTGAAGTAAAATTTCTGAGTACATCTTGAAACGTTTCAATGGGGAACTCTGGTTCAACTGTTGATGCTGAGTGTATAATATCTTCTATATTTGCTTACAGACGCTAGGTCTTGGTTGGGCTGACACATTATTGTTTTTTTGACAACTATATAGAACTAGTATAGGGGTTGTGGAGATTATTAAGTTTTTGATTGAGATCTTGAACCAATTGATGTTAGACCATCACAACTGAAAACCTGGAAGCACTGGACGGCCATTTCGTCCTATTGTGGGACTCCTCAGCAGTGCGCATCCACGATCCCGCGATCAGGATTCGAACCCGGGGCCTTCGGTCTCGTGCGTGAACGCTTAACCAACTGGATCACTGAGCTGGCATCCAATGGTGATAGATTCTAACATCAACCAATTCACGGAATTGCGCGACCAACTTCCATTGTACTGAAGTAGATAACTGTCTCTACCCGACAAAGATTAGCTCCACTGGTCACGGCTTCTCACTAGAACTCCGAGAATTCCCTCACGAAGCTAGTCACTAGTGAGCACATGTTGATTACTAGTATAGGGCTCAGTGGTCCAGTTGGTTAAGCGTTCGTGCGCGGGACCGAAGGCCCCGGGTTCGAATCCCGACCGCGGGATCGTGGATGCGCACTGCTGAGGAGTCCCACAGTAGGACGAAACGGCCGTCCAGTGCTTCCAGGTTTTCAGTTGTGATGGTCTAACATCAATTGGTCCAAGATCTCAATCAAAAACCATATAGAAATCAAGGATTAGAACTGCATGCGCACTCTGACCTAGTATTTCTAATGAATTGAGCTATTCCTTCCCTACACTTCTGGATCCTGTTGGTCGTTGCCAAAGTGAAACCTTCAAAATCAAGTTCTTTTAATGTCTACAGACTGAAATAACCAGGTTTTTGTAACTGTGACTACATCAGGCTTGGTCAATCTCTACATCTAACTGAGCAAGCGCTGGGTGTCCGTGTCACAAGTTCGAAGCACATTTAAATGACTTCGTACTGCATCCGGAGTGGCTTCAACAAAGAGCGATGTCGAAGTTCCTTTAGCTTACGTCCATCCTGTAGTCATTTTCATTGGGAGATTTAAATACTACTTTTAAAAGTCTAGTTTGAATTTGTTTCAAGTTTATTTGGCTAGATAGTCTATAATCCTTTGGTATGGTGACCTTGGAGATGCCCTGAAGCATTAGCTGGTTTGGTTGCTGTTTTACCAGCTCACTGCATTACTCAAAACGAGTTCTGCCCTCTGAGATTCCACTGTCCTTGACACTATGAAAATCAACTGATTTGTATGATAAAAATCCTGTTTCATTCTAGGTTATCTGAAGTAGCTGATACCCTTTTCTGTCTGGGAGACAGTCAGAGAAACATTTTCAAGCTCAACACTTTCATGGGTTATAGATGTGTTTGAACAATGAATAGTTACTAATATCATATTGGTTCAAACCCTTTAGTTTTGGTTGAATTTTGTCGATCAATTTCAATATATTCACTATTCTAAGTTGTTAAACTAAAATGGACAGTAAGGAGATTTGAGGTGTTTAGAGGTAGTTGACAGGATCATACGGGAGTGTTAAGCTCATTGCCATGGATTAAAATTTCTCAACAAGCGTCAGTCACCTCAAGTTTTCAGTTATATCTTATTAAATGTGCGAACTAGCAAGAAATATAGGTCATTCACAGTTTCTTACCGATTACCTTCAACTACTAAGTGTGCGTTTCTATATCTCAACTTGGAGTAAAACAGTTATCAATGTATACACATAGGATATTGAGAATTTTTATTATTTCATCACTAAATTTCTAAAACGTTCCATTGTAAATCAAAAGTTATTCATCCAGTGGCATGAACGGATTAGATGAAAGAACCTCTAACAATATTATATTGACAGTGTTCAACTGTAGTAGCATTAGGTCATAGACACACAGTCCTCAAAGCTAAACACGAGTCAACCGGTAAAATAGGTATTCAGCATTTAGCGCGGAGAAAAACCCGACGATGGAGAAGGCGGGAAGGGTGAAATCGGTTAATTGAATTCATCGAATGGCTTATATCACAAATATTGTTCTACCTCCAGCCTAAAGGCGTTCCTCACCATATATTGGTGATTGTTACGATAAGACGAGTTAGTATCGACGATTATGTGACTTCCATATATGATCTTATTGATTAGATAGTTACATCATAAGAAATTTACAATATTAGTATTAGGTATATTATTAGAGCAGTACTAATAACGAGGTAGACCATAATTCTACAAGAGGATTATAAGTTGAGAATGCTATGAAGAAAATTTTGATTCACACCTTAGTTTTCTTTTAGACACTGGACGGGAATGCACGTCAATCCTTAAGAAATAATACGTTAATTGGGGGTAAGCTATGGTTGCTGCGCTAACGAAATCAAATACACTCAAAAGACCAATGTTGTTATTAGTATCTATGGAGGACAGACCTTGATATGAGGTAAAAGATAACGACATGTAATGTTTACGTGTTGAACTGTTGAGGGGCTGGATTACCCTTGGAACCATTTTGTGATTGACTTCATTATTCGACAATAGTAGCTTTTCATTTGCTAACCGGCATGTCTTCGAAAACAGGTGTTTCCGTAGTTGTGCTGTGGTGTGTAGCGTTGTTGGATATTCGTATCATTTATGAGTGCGGTATATAGGGTGTGACTCGCTCACCAAGTATTAGTCGTAGATGCGATTCAGCCATGTGTTGGGGTCGAACTACGATAACAGATAGTTTGTTGTTTTTATCTATCAAGCTCCGTTTTCTTAGGCTGACAAGTAAGTTCAGTTAAATCCATTACAGTGATAAAAATTGAGGTTCATGCAACAGTAAAGATCAAATCAAAGAGTTAGGCAGAATCCAAGTTAAGACAAACATACCTTTCACCATATGTGTTGATCGTTTTTTCGTTTACAACTCACAGGTTAGACGAGGGACTTCTGAAGGTCGCCCAAGTTGATAGAAGGGATGCTAAGTTACGTACCAGTACATTCGGGATAACTCATCATCGTTAAAACATCTGTGATGCGTAACGAACGGATATAACCATCTGTCACGTCCGTAGTCAACATGTGACGAAGAAGTAATGCAATAGAAAGAACACTCTGACGAACAATGTTAACATGGGAAGAGTGCACATGTAGACAACTTCTGGAACAATGTAAGAAATCAAAGAAAACACACTTATCCGGTATTTCTGCCCAATGAGGATTGAGAATTGGCCGACCTCATGTTTGACATAAAATCAGCGGATTTTTGAGTTACTCGTTACCTGTTCACTCAGGCTTCGTGTTTTTTGTCCAGGTCGTCCACAACGTTTTCTGTTTTATTATGGATGATACTGATCCGTATTATTGCATGCAAGATGAAGTTTTCAAAAATTTGCAGCTTGCCAAAACTCTTTACGAAGATTGGAGAGGCGGATCAAATCCTGGTGATCAGAAATTACTGACTAAAATCCGTCAAACAATCAAGAATATAGAGTGGGATTTGATGGATCTTCAGGTATTTTGGTCCCGTTTAGCGTTTAACAACCGTCATTTTTGGGGAGTGCCCTATTTCTAATTGCGATAGGATCAGTGCATATATCCAAATCTCCCAATTTTGGGTAAATTTTGGAGAAGCCGCAATAGTAAATATTGGGGAAATGGCACAGACCCCCAGAGTTTCACCAGACCTGGAGAAAGTTTTGGGAATTCCTCCAGAGTCCTATTACACTTTAGGGAAGTGGGCTTAAATATGTTAATGAAGCCCTAAGAATTTTCACAATTTGGGGGGGGGAGGCAAAATTTCCTCTGACTTTGGGGTTTTCCCCCAAACTTTCCTATGAATTTCGCGCTTTGGCCCAAAACTTCACCATAATCTTATTACGGTTTTTGCAAACTCGTTTTAACGCAATACTTCTCAACAAATTTCTACAGATATCACGGAAAAACTAGGCGGCAATACATACGTACAGTGTTTACTGCGATGTTACATTGTTTTTAGTCAATTACGCAGTACTAAAGAAACTTAATGTTATTCGATCTATCGCTGTAACTAAAAGACTGATTCGTGACATACATAAATGTTTATTATGGTTAACAAAATTACAAATGATTGATTAATACAAGGCTTTTTCATTGCTTTGTAACAAAAGCAGATTACTTAGACGTTGAACTATCATTGACAATGTTCTACATAAATAAATAAGTATTCTTTAGTTTATAAGCAAATTTCAAGATATGTAAAATGTCGATGACGTACCAACGGTATAACAATGTTGTCAACAATACGAACAAAAAACTTACAATTACGTCTGTTAGAACTTGCGAAGCCAGCTGAAAGCAAGACAGACAAGAAATAATTTTTATACTGACAATAAAAAGTTTAACTATAAATATTGATCAAAAAGTAATATTAAAACTGCATTATGTATTATATCAAACATGTAAAGTGCTTTTAGCTCACCTTTTCTTCAGATCGCTACCCATGCTTATTTACTTTATTTCTTGCGTCATGCAACAAGGCCTGGTTTGCAACATCCATGGCGTGTACTAATTTTTCTAGGCGGGTTGCGATTCGGAAACGGGAACACAGAACACCTACATATATAATAATACTATGGTGTGGACTTTAGACCGTCCGGTAAAATTTGTACTTACTAATACGTAATTTACTTTTCGTTCCGTGTAAAGTGTACGTGTTCGCCAGTTCCGGCGACAACAGGTAACCTAGACAAGCTTTTGCTGATTTACGAGGGTCATCACATATGAGCTCATACAATCTGGCTACCTAAAATTTGTTCAAACACCTGTTACAACTTACGAACTGATCACGGAACCTTAACTCATCTAAAGCAACTTCAAAAGAGCGCAACTCTTCATGTGTTCTTAATGGGAAAGCAATAGTTGAATTGTCAACTTGGTCGGTACGCCTGTCCATTACACCCATGGATGAGCGTTCATTAAATGCGATCAGTTTATCAATCTTACTAAACACTTCAATAACTGCTTTCAGAATCATTTTCAGCATTTTATTATCATCATTGCACAACCTTTTCTTGTCATGTTTACATGAAATCCAAATTACGGTTTAATAACTTCCGTTGATTTACATTGAAGCAGTGGTGAGAAAACCTCTGTTTTCGATTAACTACTTTATGACCATTGATTAAATAGGTACATGCTTCGCTATAGGTGAGAATCTTCCTGTCAAAATGTTGACAACTGGAAAGTCGACCGGGACAAATCCAACTTCTAGTTCTTCAGAGGTGCATAAATAATCGTTAAGTTTTCGTCTAGCAGCCCTAACACAAAACTGATTTAGTAAGTTGAACTATTCACCTTTTCGGCTTTTCCGCTTCACACGGTAGCCTTTCATCATCTGTTGTAATTTTCTTATTGTAACAGAGTACTGCGGTTAAATAGACTTTCATCTCCTCGGCTATATCGTAGTCATCTAAAAACAATGAATTTAAAGTGATTACAACTTACCACAACGATGTAGTACGATGCATTTTCTCAAAGTGAAGTGACTATCACAGTCGACATCATCACGATAAATAAAATGGTCGTTGTTCAGCAGCCATTTTTTAGGGATGCAAAGAACTTGCTTCTTTTCCTTATCATTAACCAATATGTATTCTGATTGATGCTGTAAATCAATGCCGGGGCGTTAAAAATTGAAAATTTATTACATTCATGAAAATTCATGAAAACTTCCTGATGAACGAGGCCAAAGCACTAACGAACAGACATTTACTGCATAATGTACTATATTTGCGACATCCATTGAGAAATGATGTCACATTTCCTATTGGAATGTATGCAAAAGGGGAATAACAACCTCATAATTTTGTGTTGGTATACAAATGCACTTGCGAAGTATGTCAGTGTAATCCATGTACATTCGTGGCTTACGGTAGAACACTTGAATATGCCTATAGTACTGGAGGGAAGTGGGTCATTAAAAAATTCCAACGGTTTATGGAATGCCCTAAACCTAATCATGCTTCCATCAGTAATTTGTGTTATCAACCCAGGTTTCCCGTTGGCAATAACTACATTGTCAGGTCTGGTGGTTGTTAGCTTTGAGTTTCTGCAAGTGATAATTTCCTTGGATGAATCATAACTTGCCTCAGTCTCAGTGAGATTGTCAGCCATACCCTGATTCAGTATACTTGAAAGTAAACTTCTTCAGCATATCGCTGTGCAGCTTGTTTAGCCGCAGCAAATCCGCGGTGTACTGAACGCCTAATTTTCCTCAGGTATGATTCAAAAGGAAAGGCAAAGAACGACTCTAAACTGCCATGTTCTATAACGTCCTCTGCAATGTGCTTTAAACTATGCACATTATAGATTAAGTGATCGCCACCGTAACAGTTTTCGTTACCTAATAAGAAGTTGTTCACATAAACCCGAACACTTCGCGAATATGGTGTGCAACTTGGGGTGCGATAATAAATATATTGACAAGGACAGGCCCTGGAAGTTTCTGTACATTGATAGTGGTAACCTCTCATGAAGAACTACAAGGCCTAAGTATAATAAGAAAAACCGACATTCAGTTGCTTTTCATACAGAAACTTCATGCGGTGAACGATATTTCCTTGGAACGTCGCATGAAGTGTGCTGTCTACATAAGTCCCCAAAATTTCCTCAAAGTTTACCATGGCGGCTTCCCCGAAATTGGGAGGTTGGGTGTGATCGCAGAAAGAATTGTTAAGTAAACACCATGACGGGAATATTACAGAAAAGTGCACGAGAAATTTGCAACACGTCTCAAAAGTGTGATTTGTTCTCGAGGCTGCCACCGTTTGAAACTCTTCTGCATGTATGTCGTGTTCGCACATCATTATGTTAAGCATGGACCATAATAATTTGTTTTCTGTTTTCATAACTGCTCAATGTTTTCAATGTCCTGGGGATCGATTAGTGTAGTTGAATTACAGGGCTCCATCGTTTCAAACCACAAGGTACCATGGGGTTTTAGTGTTATACAATCTTGGGCGTTAGCCATCCTATTGAAGGTAGTAAGTTCGTAGCTGTAGCCAACATTCAAGCTGATACTCTTCCTTATAAGTTATCTGCGAAACTATCTAGTACACTTTACGGGTGGAGTTTGCGTCAATCGCTAGTCTTATCGACCTTCTTTATATCCAATCAGGCTATCTAAAATTTCTTAGTAACATCTACCTGTATTAAAATAACGCTATCAGTTTGATTGTATAATATCTTCCTCTTAGTCAGAGAAATAAACTTTATAAAATAGTCTGAAAAGCTCAGAACCTAATAACTTGGTAATAAAGTATCTAACTCAATTACCGAATATAGATTATTTAAAGTAGTCACATTCGCTTTGTCTTGTGCAGCATATACTAAGTTTTGTGGTACACTTAAGTGTGAGAGGTAGTGATACTACTAGTCCAACTAAATCGGAGTGGTCGACTTGGCGATTCAGACTTGGAACTTATCAGCTGATAGTTGATTGTTTCATTCACTAAGTTACCGTTCTTCAATAACATCCAAATCCATATGGGTAGATGAGTTGGGACATCATCTGTTCTGATTCTCTTAGGAGACGGAAACACAGTTATCAATAGTATGTCGTTTGTTATCATCCTCACCCAACACGGGTGCAGTTTCATACGGATTTCTAAACATAATGGATGGTGTGGTTCTGTTCTCATGTTCAGGTTTATGTACTTGGCCATGTGACGTGTTATTTATGTATGGGGTTAGTGATAATTCCGTACCAACAAAACAAAGTGGGTGAACCAAACTTCAGAACTGACCGGTTAGTTAAAAGCTCAAAGGTTTTGACTATTTCTCGTCATATCTCTAAAGATAGATCGTCTGTATTTCCACCTTGATAAACCTTTCGTTTGTCTAACAATCTACGGAGGAAAATTTAATACGCCTCTTAAAACTGATCATGCTCTGGGGATTGATTTCACTTTCCAAGTGTAGTCCTTAAATTAATCCTGATTTTCACCATATGCATCGTAAACTTACTCTCAGAACTATTTACACGTCCCATTATCTTTGGTTTCGAATATCACAGTTTCTGTTTAGATAAAAAAACGTGGACGACTATATGGAGTGCTCAAACAACGTTCATAAACCCTCATTACTTGTGGTACGGGACAGTAGCATTCAACTTACAACCAAGAGCTAATTTTTTTTCATGGGGGGGGGTGCTTTATCTCACTGTATCGTTATGAAATATGGTCATTTAGTAGAATTATTAGATGTATAGTGTTTATATTAAGAAATGTTTTGTAAATAGGAGTCATAAACACAAGTTGATTGAAGTGGGTAGAATATGTAGTACAGGTTTAACCACTACATACTGTATTATTGTTTAGACACAAATATTGGTATTGAATATATATGCACCACACTCAAAGCGGGTGGCTTTCTTAGGGAGCCACTCCCTGAGCCTTTGACTCAAAGGTCCAATCTACAGGGCAGTGTAGCAATTTTAAGTGATACAGTCCCATGGTAGCTGGTCGCCGACATTAGGTTCACACACCATTTATTCCCTCAGGATCCTGGAGCCCATCTGAACCGTTGGTTTGGAATTAGAGTTCTCCTACTACCCTAGGCGGATTCTCTATATCCACCAATCCGGTTAAAGTCCCGGACATTCGCTTCTCAATTTCGTAAACAAAATTCCTGCCACGAGAAGGCAGCGAGTAGTACTTTCGTGGGGGTGATTGTATATGCGTGACCATATGAGAGGATTTGGAGAGGGAGAGTGGACTCCACCCACCCTCTGTCGTAACAGGGCATTCGGGGATACAAACTGTCAAACCAATATGATTGTATGGAACTAAAATTTAGAAATATCGTTTATTATTAGAAGTCTCGTTCAACCTATCTTGGGATGTGGCAAATGTTAGTTTAAATCGAACTCTGTTGGAAAAATCGGGATAGATCCTTTTCACCTTGCTGCTTGAGTAAAGGTTTTTGTTGCTTTTATTATATCAAGTTCACTACGCGTTAAATAAGTAGTGACTATTCCACCATTTCATATACTTATCCAGTGCTTTGTTTTCCAATTCAGTTAGTATTATTGGGTTTTTTTCACTTTTTTTCTTGTTGCCTTCATTGTTTGTAAAGTATGATAAAATGAACTGATACATAGGTCCGAAATGTCTTTGTTTAAGTCTATGTCATTTTTTACCTGTTAATCAATTATTTGGTTTGTGGTTATAGTCAGTCCAATTTTTTGGATCATATAGACTTTCACCTTGGCAAGTTGTTTGGTTCGTGCATTTTATTTATGTAAGAAAGGCTAATAATCAGTGTAAAACTGTATCTAAGATTTGTCTCTACGTTATATATTTAGACTCGTTCCTGTGGAATATTTCTTAAAGTTTATAGTCCCCATGAGGTTCAGGACGATTTTGTTCTATAAATTGCTGTAGTGATTTCGGAACTTCAGCAAGTAAGTTGATTTGTGTGAGACTAAATGTGGGTTCGAATTTTAGTAGAGGCATAAATTATCACAAAATTATGAGACAATGACATGTTAATTGATATCGATAAGTATGTAGATGTTTACGAAAATTCCCGTTAATTGACTGAAAATTTGTAACAGGAATTTAAAGTGGAAACTTTCTTGTTGGTCTATTCACATATTCATTTTCTTAAGTTCTGTTGTGTCGTAAAATCTTTGACAAGTTGATGTTCTGATTTCTCTCTGTCATTTGACATCAGTAGATATTTGTATCTACAGTTATGCTGGTTTTTTGAGAATTGTTTTTTAACAAATAATCACATTCTTATTTTTCATCATGTCTCAGACTTTGCTTTCCATCACAAACAAGTATTGGTGAATTATCTAATAATGAAAATAATCTACTTTACTTTCAGCTGTAGGTCTACACAGTCGGTTTCGAACCATACCTTTTTTAAAACGTTAGTGTTAATTATTGGCTATCTGAACCAAAGCCTATAGAGTCGGTTTCTAACCTACATACCAAGTTAAGTGCTTTAGCCACTTTTCTAGATATTTAAAAGAAGAAATTTACCAAGTACGTGTTTTACTCTATTGAATTGTTCTTCACCAGTGACCTACCTATCAAGGCAAGATATTTGTTATAATTTCTTTTATTACAACCCAGCTACTCTTATCGCTTAGTATTTTTAGACATTACTTCACTCGAAAAGTCCCCAAATCAGGACACGGTTGAACAGGAACGAAATTATATTCCATATGACAAGGGTAGATGGAGGTGGGAATTACAATAAGAGAAACGTTAGCATATTTGTAATTTTTACATAAGAAGATTCTAGAGTCTTCTCCAACTGTCCACTAGCGCTGATTGGATAAGAAATTGTCAGTCAGCGTGCCCCAACATAATCCTGTACGAAACGTGCTTTAATCCAGTTTATATTCCGCTAACAATATTCCACACCCTTTAATGATTCTCATGTGATGAAAGAAATATACTTAGCATTTTAAATCTCAGTTGTTATGGCCCAGGAATTTCAACTGATATATATGTGGCAGTTATACGTTGTTTATAACTGTGTGTTAGTTATTATTTAATCAACATGTATTATAAGAAACAAACGACTCCTTAGTGTACTACCAAGTATCATTTTCAATAAATCTGAAATGTTTAATTTTCGAATCTATTTCCAGGAAACTATTGGAGCAGTCGAAAATAATCCTATGAAATTTCGTCTATCCGATAATGACATATCAGCAAGACGTCAATTTTTAACAGAAGCAAAAAATATAGTAAAGAATGCGAAACATTGTTTAAACTTATCAGATAATGGCAGCAAAAGAAATGATTCGCCTATTGATTTCACAGTTCATATCGCACCGCGTCCATCATCATCACCACCCTCATCGGTGTTATGTAATGGAGATTTGAAAGTGAAGTAAGCGAATAATTTACAAGTTTATTTTGTGTATGTTTGAACTATTGTTACTGCTGTCCTACAACTTGCATTACGTTGATTCTGTCACGTCAAGGGTTTGTTTTAATATTAATAGCTTTAACTGTATAAGTAAACACCTTTAAATTAAACACTGAACTACATTTTATATACTCTAGTTAAAGATATTACCCAAGTATTAATAGATTTACGACCCGAATTTGGAAGCAGAAAGTTGAATACTTATTTCACCGGTTCACTCTGAGAACATTCATCTGTAAATGTTGTTGGTATTTGTTATAACTGCAAGTTGATCGATATCCATAGGATAATGGTCAATCAGAATCTTGTAGTATTCCTCTACCCCGTGCATACTATTTTACCTATCGCCTAACATCCTAAGCTTTGCTCAATTATACGTTTCTGTTATCAAGATTAACCTTGAGTTGAAGCTGAGGTAATCACAATTCCTGTTGGTCCATAACGTATGCCTCTCTTCTAGCCCAGTTTTCAGTCCGGTAATAGAACATAGTAAGCAGTAGTTCAGTAATATATCTCATGTGAACCAACTCATCAAATAATACAGATCAATTTCTTGATCATACAAACGTGAATATTAAATTACCGTGTAGACATAACTACACCAAAAGTGGAAGAAAGCGGAGGAAAAAGATGAATGATTAATTCATCATAATTAAGGAATAGTAGGGCGTATGGCAATGGCTAGTAAGGTCCACTGGAAACTTGCAGGAAGTAGAATATAGGAGCACGAAAATACAATTATCTCATAATTATACAAACAAAATATGAATAGTGATAGTTCATAAGATAATTTTGAAAGACTCGTGTAACTGCGTGGTTTTATTTGTGCTAATAATGTTTTAGGACACTGTTTAGACAAAAATTCAAGACAGTACACGCTAATCTTATTCACTTTAGGGACTGTTTCAGAATAATCTGGGTATGAAAGGTTGGATATACGTCTCCACAATTGGAACAGACTATCTGAGCTGAGGGTCTTCGAGAATTATTTTTTCTTTAGTATTATTATTGCTTATTATTGGCACTCTGTACGTATTGTCATAGTTCAATAATATGTTTTAGTCGTTTTGAAATAAAAGTTTTAACGGTTGGGGACATTTTATAATGACATCCAAGTGGTCATAAATACATCAGACAGGATATATACGAGATAATAATTAAGGTACGATTCTACTGGCTGGTAAGGTTTTATGGTATGCACATTATCGATGAACATTAATGAAACGAAACCTAAGAGTTTTTATTGTAATCTCATGTCATTCAAGGAGTTGATAAAAGTTATTATTGAATCGTTTCACCTTAGTTTCCTGTTGGATAACGAAGATCGACACCTATATAGAAAAACTTTAAATTTCCCCAATAGTAAAACTCACCTTAATAACGGATGCTACAAATCACGAGATATAAGCTTAGAGCCTATGAAAATATGTAAAATCGAGTGACTTTCAATCATGCGGTCGTTTACAAACATTTCACTAGTTTAAATACATATTTTGTGATGTGACTGTGGGTTGATTCAGTTTGGAATTTGTTTAAGTTATAAGTTAGCGAATAACCAATACATAGTAAATCGTCTTATATATTAATCTCTTTCCTTGCACCGAGCCATATCAAGTGAGTGGTTTTATTAGCGTATGCATTTATAGAATAATTCTGATAAGTCGTGTGGATTGAACGCTATATTAGTTTCCTAAGCTATTTCCCGTAACCCGCAGTCTGGAACTACACAGCGACTTGAACACCAGAGAGAAGGCACAAGTATGAGAGAAAATACTTTATCCCAAGGTTCATTCTAGTACAGAAAATCAAGGGTATTTATAGATGTTGGCGTCTGTTAAATCAACATCATATTTCAGTCAATCCGTTAACGTCATATTATGCTACCGACCAATGGTAGCACGCCACGCTGGAATTCTCGAACGTTCCATCATACTCTGATTGGCTAGGACTCTTCGGCTCCTTTTCGGCCTCTGGAGGTTCCGTTGAAGTTCTCCGGAAGCCGACCCAACAAATTCTTTAGTCAATTTCATCGTTGTTTGTTAACTGTAATTCACATTAGTAGATAATATCCCATTGTCAAACTACCGAATTAAGACACTAGTTATCGTAAATTTTATTAGTTCTATGTATATAAAACTTCAAGTTACGTACATTTTTTAGTCAAATCCTGTTAAAAAATGTGTATTATTAGATCTTATTCAATATATGTTAACAATTTTATCAGTTTAATGTATTTAACATTAAGTCAGTTTCACATTAAATTTCATTGACAAATACTTGTGTTTTCTTTTGTTCCTCTCCCTTATCATCTTCCATTTTAAATCAGTGATCAAACAACAAATAAAACACAATCTAGTAAACGAATAAATTCTCATATTAACAAGTCATCACCATCATCAAACATCTATTCTATACATTATGATCCGTTAACAGAACAAAAACAATTATTATATGAACAAGACAATCGATTGGATCAATTAGGTACAACTATATCGAATTTAAAAGGAATGTCACAGCGTATTGGTGATGAATTAGGTGATCAAGTTGTTCTATTAGATGATTTCAATAATGAAATGGTTAGTACAGAATCAAGGCTTGATTCAGTAACTAAACGGACAGCACGTTTATTACACTTAAATACTGATCGTCGTCAATGGTGTGCTATTTTCTCTTTGTTAATCACACTCATTGTTATATTGATTTTATTTAGTGTCCTATAATTGTTATCCTAAATAAATAGGATATATATATCTATATTCGTTTTTGTATTATACTGTCTTGTTCTCATATTTATACGTCTCTTTTCCAAATGGTTATTTTAATCAATAGTTTCCTCATGATTTGATTTATTTGTTTTGTATTGTTTACTTTGTTCGAACCAAAATGTGTTGTTCTCACTATATGATACTAATGTTTATAATCTCTTTTGAATTTTATTGTTAACTTATCATTTACTAAATCAACTTTATCTGTGATGTTAATTAATTAAGAGATATTCAGAGAGTTTATTATTAAAGAGTTACTGTTGTTGTTCTTTTTCTTATTGTCGATGCTTGTATATTCAAACTTAAATCATTTCAATGCTGATTTGATTGTTTTTGCATTATACTTAATATGAACTGTATTTGAAAGTGATGTTAATTCAATCTTTAACAATTACTGTTTAAATTTGAAACTTCTCGGTAAGGGTTCGAATCCCATAGAAAAAGTATCAATTCCCTCAAGATTTTAGATAAGCTTTGATGATAAGTCCCAATAAGCACGAAATGTAGGTTGAACTGGATATTTTTGCCAGCCATCTCCAACCATCTAACATTTCAACACAATATATGTGATGTGTCACTTAGACTAATGGATACATTTAAACTTAATAAATAGGATTCTGTAAGTACTAAGGACTAGACAAATAATGAAACTGGTCACTACTCAATAATCAATCAATGTAAACACCTTAAATTATGTGTGGTCTGATTTCGTGGATATTTGCTGGGATTAAAAACCTGGTGCCGTTTCTCAGTAGGTCTAATATATTCGCGATAGAAATAATTCAAACGCTCAATGGTATACATTTATTCACAACCTTGACTAACACATATTGCACTGAAGCCTTCAACAACGATATGACAGGAAGTAGATTAGTAAGAATTATTATGCAGAAAAGCTGTTTATTGGTATTAAACTTGACATTTTACACACTAAGATACATGATACTATAAGACAATGAAATGTTTGCAGAAGTTCTACTTGAGTATTACTGCTAAACGCTAACAGGTGATGTGGATTGCCAATTTACCGAAAGTTTTTCTATGATAACTAGTCCGACTAAATTGGGAATACAGATTGAAGGAAAACCCTTACTTTAAACATAATTTACACTGTGTAAGTCGATTCTTGATACATAAACTATAAAAATAGTGGTCTTCAGCACGATGAAATGTAATTATCAGGACAAATCACAGAGTAGTCGAAGTTGTAACAATATCAGTAGTAGTAAAAAATACTTAAAATAGATAACATGGAATAAAGGGTAATATAATTTTGGAACTTAGGACCACATGCTCCATTGCGAATAATTTTGGGCCATATCCAAAATTTTCAACGGTTGGCCACAATCTCCCGGACCTCATTCTGTCATCAACTCCATGAACATGTGATACGTTTCGGTTAGTCCGCCTCAAGCTTTCTAACCTACTTCTACATTATTCAGAATCATGCGTCAAGATAGTTGATGGTTGGCCAGACGTAATACATGCCCTGACTACCTCAGTCGATGAAAATAACCGGTTGCCCTCAATCCGATTTCAACATCGCTCACTTTGTTGTCCCAATATAAGCGTAAGCGAAAAGTTGGTAATATTTTCACCATACCGAATGGAAGATGGGATATGAACGATCTTGTGGGTACTCTCATTTCGACTAATTTTTCTATTTCATCCAGTGTTGCTAAACTCACTGCTTCGTCATATGAATTGAATACTTTGTCACCAATGCTAATTACGTTACTGACAAGAAAGTCCGAAACTGGTATAAATTGACTGGTTTGGCTAGTTGATTATAGACAGTTTATCAGCTTAAAAAATGGCCTGTTTATTCAAAAGTTCGACTATTTATTCCTGATTCTCAATGCTTTGGAAAATATCACTCGTGATCAAATGCAAAATGACCTATCATGTAGATTTCGAATTCAAATACTACTCACTTTGGCTGTTCAGATTAAATAGAGATTCTCAGTAGGCTAAACATAAGACACCCTAGTGTTTCATCGTCCCCGGCACTAACTGGATTATTCATTTAGAATATTGTAGATACTCTCAGTTTGAAAGATTTCATCTGCTTTGCTTTAGCACAGTAGATTTAGGATCCTTAAATCTGGTGGCTATAAAATAAAATGTCACCTACTATCTTTAGTCTTATTATGATTGTAGTAATTATCGAATGCATTGTAACTGAGTCCTTTTTTTCTTTAATATATTCTGTAGATTATCTTCAGTCTTGTCCCATGTATGTAGTCTAGAAATGATTTCACACTGAGTCATTCGCTCATCGTGTGTATCGTAACTACCACGTATCTTTCGACTATCTCAAGGGTGATCTACGCTGGAGCTATGACCTGTATTTAATCCACTGCTTAAACAACTTACGATACATCAAGGCTTTTCGGCTAGTTACTCACTTTTATTATTATTAATGGTATTATTCAATATTGTATATTGAGTACAATATAGAAATCTCTTTAGTAGTCAAATAAATCTACTATCCTCTTCCTATCTTTTCTAAAACAGTCTCAGAATTTCCGCAAAGCAAAGATTATGCTTTTTATAATTATCATTTATGATTGTCGAAATAATATCGATCACTAGAACACAAAAATTCAATGTTTGACTTTCACAATTTATGAATATATATAGACTACTAATAATAAAGTAGTAGACAAATGATGAATGAGAAATATTTATTACACAAAAGAGTTTGATTTTATTTGAATATTGTTAGTTAGTTAACTTGGAAAGACTTTGGAATAGTTAAAAATTAATTGAGCATGGGGGGCAAGAATAAGAATTTCGTGTCTACAATGAGAGGAGAAGATTTCTAATGATTGTAGAAAGGAAGATATCTTTTTTTTATCTGTCTGTCAGTCGTTTCATTGAATCCAAATGGATGAATCTAACAAAAAAAATCATTTCTCTGTAATATTGATTAATGGTTAGTTATGTTCATTTACATAAATATGACTGTTCAAGAAGACAGTGAGTTTTTATTTACTTTACAATAAAGTTGTTTTCACAACAAAATGCTTTGAGTTAAGTTAATATATATATATATATATATATATATATATATATATATATATATATATATATATATATATATATATATATATATAAACAGTAGAGATTTATTTTCCTATCGACGGAGGTTTAGCAATATGATCTATATTAGTCCTAATTATTGGTTCCATTTATTTGAGCCTTATTTTCTGGTGTACAAGTGGTAGTTTTTCTTGGCAAATCATGACTATTAAGCATATCCATAGGCGTGCTCATAAAGTTTTCTGATTGGTAATTTCTAGTAGAATTCGTCATAAGTTCAATCAACTGTTGTTGTTGTTGTAGGCTCTGCTCTTTATGATGCGGATATGGACGTGTTTGTAAATAGGTTGGATAATCTGCAGAATACAATATTGATTGTGTTGATGGTTGATTAGTATAACTACTGTTTTGTGTTTGTCTATCAGTCAGTAAAGATGAATTATGTGAACCGACTAAATTCGGTTGCCATGAAATGATAGGATTTATTGTCAATGTTTTATTTATTGGATTCATTGTTTGTGTCCATTGCATAGTTAGAGGTGTAATATTTGCGGGAGTTTGAAAGATTCCATTATTTGGCTGATTTCCGACATCGTTACGACTTAACTGGGTACCATTTATGGGGAATAAGGATTGGGCAGCCAGGCTAAGAAACGATTGTGCTGCACTAGGATTTAAACTGTTATTTTCTGTCAGTCCAGGTTTTAGAATACACCTTTCACCAACAAATGTTTCTAACGGTCTGGGTACATCATATTCATGGCTTCCTGCCCCTGAATAAGCGTATTCAGGCATTGGCCAGTAGGCTGGATTCGGTGGCGGTGTGGAATTCGCTTCTAGACGAGGGTTTGGAACAGTTGTGAGTAACAAAGCTTGTGGTATATTGGGTCTACGGGCCGATATAGTTGTTGAACCAAACTGTGATGGCATTGGAGTAGTGGTTGCTAACACCATATCAGCAAATGTAGTACATGTTGTTTCTACATCCTCACGCTGTAACAGTTTAGCATCTAAACTATTCCCATTTTGATTCAAATGATGTGATCCAATATTATTCATAGCTGATTGATGCTTATTACCTCTCAACAAATGACCATTATTATTATTGCTACTATTTATCCATGAAAACCATTTACTATGCGATCCTAAATGTGATTTACGTAGATTTTTTGCTGATAAATGATTATTGATTTGACAAAACCAGGAAAAACAATTTGTCGCCAAGTATAATAATGCTAAAGTGGCAATAAATGTTCCTATAACTGCACCGAGTAATTCTAATAATGTAAATCTTTTTATGAACAAATAACCATATGTCTCTTTACTTTCCTCTTGTAATGAATTTGTTATCTGTTTATCAAGTATCTGTGAAGTTGTGGTCAATGATGACATTGAAACTTCAGCATTGTCATCTTTCGGAGCATGTTGCTTACGACTGTCCAAACTTGAAGATTCACCAATTATTACAGGATTAATGAATTCAGATGGTCTCAGAGGTCCAGACACACGTACAGTAACTTCATGAAGCCTATAATATTGAAATTTGGTTTGATGATTATCAGATGTTGGGACAATTAGGGATGTAGGTTTAAATGGGTTAACAATACCCTCGGAAGAAGTCAATGATGTAGTAGATACTGAAGATATTGATGGTATCCCATCATTATTCCATATTGTACATGTGAAGTTTTCAATATTTACTGAATTCAAACTTACATTTAATGCAAGTTTTCGTTCAATCATTTTGTTCCCTGGTAATATATTCAAAGATGATTGACTATTAGAATGCATAAAATATTGATCATTGGAACCTTGTTTAACTGAAGGGTCTAAAATTTGCTGTACTTTTTGTCCGTGTATCTTATATGTCCATGCAAGACTTGGTGTTGGTCTGCCTTTACCAATACATGTCAGTTGAGCGAAATCTGCACTTGCTTTTAACATATTTATTTCAATTCCAGTTATACTTGGGATTGGACAAAAATAATCCCAACTACGTGGTAACTTCTTACCAGCTAAGGCAGGTGGTTGTGCACATGTCATATTCATATGTTGCATTAAACGAATTGATGATTCTGTCGGTGAATTTGACCAATCAGTAACATCTTTTTTGTGGTCATTATTGTTTAAATCTTTACCAGTGACATACTGATATGCATCGTAAGACTGACTTTCAACTAACCTTGAAAGCCACATAAGCTGACAATCACAATTTAAAGGATTATTGCTCAAATCTAGATAGCCAAGGTTAGGACGAGGTGGAACAGTTGATAAATGATGAATTTTTGAATTTGAAGGATCTATGACAAGATCAGCGAATTGTGGATCTAACCATGTTAAAATATTATCAGATAAACTTAACTGTTTCGGTTTAGCCTTAGCTATTGTCTCGTAATCTAGTGAAGTTAAATCACAGTTTCGAGCTGCCAAGTGAAAAACATGAGCACCATGAAATGATGTTCGATCAAAAATTATTCCTTTATTATCAGTTAGTGAAAGAAGCTTTAATGATGGTCCAGCAAATGCTTCTGGTCTAATTGTTATTATTCGATTTTTTGATAAATCTAATATACGTAAATGTTCCATAGCAGAAAATGTATGTGATTCAATCTCTTTTAAATCAAAATTACTTATTTGAAGATATGTTAATGTTTCCAAACCGGTTAGATTATCACGTGTTAAAATCCCATTGTGTTGACCAGTAGAATTCATTCCTGAAATGATAAGTTTTGCAATTTTAGCTGGAATATCATTTCTTGGAATTGGTAATGATGGTATTGTTGATTGACAAAATAATACAGGACGATCATTTTCAGTTAATTGTAAACATGCACATTTAACAGATGATGTAATAATGCTTAGAAGAATGAAGAAATAAAAAATGTGAAAAAGTTTTAAACTGATTAAGGGATGCATAGAATTCGATAGATTTTTGAGTTCCATATTCTTTATTTATTTTCAAAGTTGTCAATCCTGTTGTGATAGTAACAAAATGATCTGTAGAAAAAGAAAAAGAAAGTAACTTATTAGAATACTAAAAACTGTATGATAACGATATGTAGTTTTTAAAACAATCAAGCCTTTATTGATTTAAGGTTTAAAATGGTTATGACTATCGATTAGAATATGTAAGAGATACTGGATGATCATCATCATTCAGTCATCAATGTCTAATAGAATTTTGATTTGATCTTAAACTAAATAATTGTATAGTCTAAATCCTTGGCTATTTCTTTCAATTTGGTCAATTGATTAGGTATTATTCATTGTTATGTAATGACAACTGTGGTAAGCCTAGAATAATGTTTGTTTATTCTTACTCAATTCATTCAAACAAAGTTCATCGGCTACCTAGATAATGATTAATGGTAGCCGGAACTAAAAACACACACATCATTTCTGTAGTATGGTGCGCAATATTTCAAACAGTCAAAACTCTAATTATATCAGAAAACAAGGACAGAGTCCGTTTACCTTCTCAGAGTGTTGTCAATAAACATGCAATGAAAAAAAAGGAATAAATGCCTTAATATTATCCAACAAGAACATGTATTTATCTAAGTATATGTACATAAATAAGCGCTGGGTATTCATAGCAATTTTTCAGTTCTTTTCTTCATTTATCTCATTAACCATATTGGGATCACCGGGTAAGTGATAGTGAGGTTAGACGAAAGATATCAGGGAGTGATGGTAAATCAGTTGATGAGGTTGTGAATCTTCATCGACTGAGATGGTTGGGCCACGTGTTACGTATGCCTGAACACAATGCCGTCTAGTGTTGCAGATGGTTGGAAGAAAGTTAGGGGCGCCCAAACCAAAACGTGGCATCAGTGATTGAAGTCACTAACTTCTAGTCTTAGCTATGTTGGTAGATGAAGACTACTTGTTTGGGGTCTGCGTGAATATCGTAACCAATGGTTGAAGACTGTGGGTGACATGGCTCAGAACCGATCACATTGGCGTCGGTGTATGCTATTCTCTGTCTTCCCTTAAACTATATTTCTTTCTACGCACTAGTTCTTTCTTCCTGTACTATGTTCATATATGCAATCTTTCTTTTATATATTACCACCTCTGAATTAACTACTTTTATGAATCCGGTGTTCATCGTGCTGTGTTAATGAAGTGTGGCAACTTGGACCGATGCATATATGTGCCTAGTCCTACGTTGTAGCAGATTAACTGGATTTAAAAAACATGCGCAAGATAGCTTCGTACAAATTTCTAATGTTCACTAAAGCATACAGTGATAAATTCAGTAATAATTGAAAAAATAGTACAAATAACCAAATAAAGAGTAATAAGGGGATTCTATTAACCAATGAATTCTCAGAAGTTAATCTCATATCTAGAGATCTGATCAGATCAATCAGCCATTAACACAAGGAGAAAATGAATTGTAGGAAGATTTGGTAATCAAAATAGAATAAGCAGAACCAAATGAAATGGGACAACTCCGTATATATGGTAATGAAAACATGACATTCAAAGATATGGAAATTTAGAGAGCTAAAATCAATGGGAACCAGTCAGAAAAAGTTAATGCAGAAAATTTACTTAGAATAAAAACACATGGAGCATAATACATAGATTGTTCATTCACTAAACACTTTATTATGCACTAGACAATATCTCTACCAAAATGGTTTTATATAAAAATAATGCAAAATTGCAAATATTTGTTTCGTGACAAATGGCTAGCAACAATATAAAATAGTTTTAGTGTCTCAAACCCATTGGTTTGTTTAGAATTGTGCTCACCGATAATTTACCTAAAGTCACTTAATCATAAATCACTTGGAAAAAGAATTACTCGTAGAACAGAACAAGTGGGTCCAGTTTCTTTGTTATCGTTAACATTGTAGGTAAATGGTTCGCTTTGGCTTTATGTAACGACTTAACCATTCACTACTCTCATTAAAATATGTGATCGATTTGATGAAAAGGGTTATTTTCTTCACTACATTATCTGCATAAATTACTATTAACATTTTTAGGAATTTCGACAATATTATGCACTTTATCTTCAGTGCTTAATTCATGTATCTGTTGTTAAAGTTTTTAAAGACTAGTTACATCTTATTTGGTAAATCTTAAGGATTAGTAATCTACATTTGTTGGTCAATCATCAATTGTCCTACTATAATGCTTAATTCAATTTCATATGGAATAAGAGCGTCTGGTCACTTTTTCCCCGGGTTCTAGAATTATCGTAACTGATGTGCTGTGTTTTTTTTTAGAGAATGGGGAACGACAAATTTTTGTACATATTAAAACAAATTCACTAAGTTTCCTTTTCAAACAATACGATCAATCTTCCAGAAACAAAAATAGAAGGAAATAATTCATGGTTAAGTTATTGTTTCTAGTGACCCGTGAAAATTGTTTCAAATATGGAAAAAAATATGACAGATAACAGATTACAGAGATATACATTACTCATGGGAATGACATGTAATGATTTATGTATTCACACTAGTAATAAATAATGTTCAGATTGATGTAACTAGGTCATGAAGATTGATATCAGGATACATGTTGACAAAAGATGAATAGTTGAGCAACAGAGAGAGAGAGAGAAGATTTGATAAAGTAAGAAGGTGAAAGGAAGAAGGAATCCGATAGGAAAGGGGGATCTCAATAAACGTAAAATGATAAATCACTCAACTGCTGTATGTTGCATGTTCAGCATTTAATTAACATTTCGCGTATATACACGTTCCTATAGTGGTAATCTAGAGGACAGATCAATAGGAATTATAATACGAATATGCTTTTTTATTATACTCAACTGGAAAAATATCAGCATTATGAAATTTTCGTACTACTAAACGGTTTTGTTTTATTTCTTTACTTTATGAGAAGGTTGGTTAAAACTTATAGTCATGAATTGATGATCTTAACGCCAGAAGTTTTAAAGAAACCAGTAACAGCCACTAAATAATGTTCATTAATAGCGACTCACATAGTCACATATTAGTATTATGAATCAAAATAAACAATGATCAAGATATCAGTGGAAAGCAACACAAATTGTTTTATGAAATCTTATGTATCAGTCAATCAACAACGTAGAACTTTGTACGTACGTACATCAGTTCGAGTTGCCATGCCACATTAGCACACAGATACAATTGTCCATTCAAATCCCATGGTGGTAGAGGTAGTAAAAGAATAAGATGTAATCGCAAAGACTAGGTTTTGAAGATGTTATTCAATGAGTATAATCCAGTGAAATAAATTTGCAAAGAGAAAAAAGAAAGGGACATGAAGGAGTCAGAAAGTTAAAATTTGGGAGGACACAAAGAGTGGATGCACCTTCGTCATTGCAAACGATTTTGAGCCATGTTATTCAAGGTCTTTAATCATCGGTTGTTATGATCTCGCGGATCCGTGGAACCAGATAATCTACACCTACCAACATGGCTCAGTCCACTTATATGTCTCAAAAAAGTCTAACGATTTCAATTCATTGAGTCAATAAAGTGTATCATCTTTTATTATTATTATTTTACAGACACTTCAAAGTGTAGATTTATATGGATGCGTTTGTAAACAGTGATGAATGAGATACACTTTTAATATATGCTATTCATTAATCTACACAACTCTCATTATTTTAGTTCTTCGACTTATTATTCAGATTTAATCAGTGCATCACTATTAATAATAGTTAGTATAAAAAATTTTTCAACTTTCTATTCATTTCAACAGTTGAGATCATGAATCAATTGAAGCTAGACCACCATGGAAAACCTGGAAGCACTAGATAGCCGTTTCGTCCATCCATTTAGTATTATTGATTTACACTACTCATAAGTAGTAAATAGTAAATGATATACCATTTTATATATGCATTTCTTTAGTTGCTGAAAACTATTCATGAAACAGGAATACTTAACTCTTTCTTATTAAATTCATATTACAGGAAGCTTTAATTTTAGATTTTATTCTATGTAATAAATATCAACAAAGAGTAGGATTCATGGTTACATAATAAATTAATATTATAGAATTTATTCAATATTAGAAATTACACAAGAAAACATTAGTTTATTGTTTTAAATATTAACAAAGTTTCTAAGTGGAATTGTTTTTACTACTGTAATTTTCCATGGTGGTCTAGCTTCAATTGACTAATGATTTCAACCAGTGAAGTTTCTAAAAATCTTCACAAAACCCATTCTGATAATAATAATAATAATCACCTGCTCACTGGTGACTGACTTCAGGATACACTCCTGGAGTCCTAGTGAGAAGTCGTTACCAGGTCTGTTGTGAGATAGAAACTCACTGACGACGATGGTGTACGGTGGCGCAACTTCGTGGATTGGTTGAAGTTAGACATTAACACCATTGGATGCCGGCTCAGTGGTCTAGTTGGTTAGGCACCTGGCGCGAGACTGATAGGTCCTGGGTTTGAATCTCGCGGGGCGCGGGATCGTGGATGCGCACTGCTGAGGAGTCCCATACTAGGATGAAGCGGCCTTCCAGTACTTTCAGGTTTTCCATAGTGGTCTAGCTTCAATCGATTCATGATTTCAACCAGTAAAATCAATATTATTTACAACATCTAAGTGTAGAAGAGTATGATAAACTTTTTCTTATTTCCATTTTAATATTTAATATTCAGTTCCAGAAACTTTATACCTGAAATTGATCTTACAGAAATAAATTGTCGTAGATATTCAACTATGACATGTAACTACTATTGAATACTTTAGTATACTGTAACTATAATGAATATTTTCTTTTCAGTAATGATGGAAATCTTAAACATCATCACAATAATAAAAGAAATTCATAGTAATAAAAATAAGAAAAAGATACCGATGATGACCTTTTTATATTCTTGGACATTAATAAAACACCATGAACAATCTATGAATACAATTGTGTATATTTGAAAGCCTATAACATGTGATTATAAACTACTTTAT